TGTTTACACAGATCCGAGGCTAGTCTCCAGCCCTTGCCTGTTTACACGGATCCGAGGCTAGTCTCCAGCCCTTTAAGTGGATCCGAGGCTAGTCTCCAGCCCTTGCCTCCTCACTCTGCTTTTCCCCCTTTATCTTTTGTCCCAGATACTAGGGAATATGTCATAAGTTTTCTCAGAGTGTATCGAGGAACAGCCAGTCTTGATGGAAATGAAGCACGTGGCTCCCAGATCCTGTTCTGCGCTATCATGAGAAGCAGCTCTGTCCAGAGCGCTTGTCCTTTAGGCCACCAAGGCTCCCTTCTTGAGTGCTGTAGGCGTTAGAGAACACACGTTTTGGTCACTTTTGCTTGCTCAATAGTGCCTGATAATAGAAAGTAGATTGGTTGAATGAAAGAACTTGTCCTCCAACCCTTCTAAGCAGGACAAAATTCTATATTTTTAGACGCACCTAAAAGGAGATAAGGTCTAGTTACGATGAATGGAAGTGTCAAAGGGGCTCTGAGGAGGGTTAGAGGCCACCCTACCCTGTCCCACAACCTGGCTCTGTCCCCGTCTACACAAAGTGCCTGCAGAGGGCGCTGTGAGCTCACCTGTCCTGGACACCTAGGCAGCGCACTCCCTGCAGATTGTCACTAAAAGGCCGCTAGGGGGTGCTCTAGGTCTTTGGAAGCCAAGGGTCCAGCCACCCTCCTGGGAAGGCAGAAACCTCCCCTTAGCCTTGGGCTAGGAGTCAGGCAGAGATTTTGGTAGAAATCTCACTCTTTCTGAGCATGGAGTTCCAGGCTCCCGGCTCACCTAGTGAGATGGCAGGGAAGTCAGAGGAATGTAAGGTGGAGGGTGCTGTCCGTAGGTCCTCGGTCTGTGGGAAGCTGGATGGTTCTAGATTTTACTGTCAGACTTTGACTTTCTCCTTACCTGGAGTGGGAGCAGTGGGTAGGGCACTTACAGCCCTGGGGTAAGGCTTCCTGAGTATCCAGAGGCTTCCAGAAGCCTTGCTCCGGGGGGGAGCCAGGCAGACAGCATCACTTCTATGGCTAGGGTAGTGAGGGAAAGAGCAGGGAACAGGTGTCTTAGCAGTGCTAAGGGATCTAGCCACCTGCTACCACCCACCATGTAGGACCAGGGGCAGTATGTGCCTCGGGAATAATGACCCATCCCTCAGGAATGGGTGGATTTACAAGGCAGGTCGGCGCCAATAGCAACTTTACACTCAGCCTATCTGTGCTGTCTAGTTGTAGGCTGTGCACAGCTGACCTGCCAATTAACCCAGGCAGGGATATCATAGCCTCTAATCACCATCATTAGGTAGGGGGCCTGAGGACACGGTGGCTTCCAAGACCTGAAGGTCAAAGAGGCCAGAGAACCTGGGGCACGGGGTACTCTGCTTCACCCTGGAGGCAGTAGAGCTGAGTGAGAGAGGGGCATCCCCCAGGAGGACAGAGGGAGCCAGATGTTTCCTCCAGTTCTCTCACACGTGGCAGTGACACCCGCAGGCACCCGCCACCAACTCCGGAAACAGGAGTAAAGAATACGTGGGCGGAGTCGGTGTAGCCTGGCGGGAGGCCTCTGGCTCCTGACCCGAGGTGCTCCTTGGAGTCAAAGGTGATCCCACCCTCCAAGAAGGCAGTGGGACATTGAGTCTGAGGCGAGTAGGCAGAGCTGGCCTCCCTCCCGGGACAGGCACTAGCATGAAGAGCGCCTGGCATTTAGGGCATACCAGTGGGACAGGGCGGGACCCGGGGGCGCCCAGGGCAGGCGGGAGGGCTAGTCTGCGCCAGGCCTTGGCTCCAGCCCTTTCCGCCCCTTATTGTCCTTGGTGAGAACCGGACACTGTCCTTTTCCCACTGCCCCCTGCCTCCACAGCTCTGCTCCCCAGGGCCTCTGGAAGTGTGCTGGGAAAGAACAGAGGGCCGGAGACCCACAGGGACAGAGGTGCTGAGAGACAGAGACGGATGGACAAGGGAAAGGGTTCAGTGAAAGGCACAGAAAGTTCATTGTGAAGTCACTGGGGGCAGGCTCTGTGGGAACCCTGATAGAATGGGAAACTGGCAGCCCTGTCTTCCTGGGGGAACTCCAGCACTGTGATCTGGGCAGCCCCTGATTTAGGTTACAAATACTGCTGCCTCCTTAGCCAGCAACGGCCAGAGCCCCAAGGCAGACAGCCCAGGTACTCAATTGTTCTCCTTAGGTACACTTCTTTGCCTTCCTTCAAGGGAAATGGAAGTTTCTGGGGGTTCAAGGGCTGGAGTCAGGATCTTGCTCCCCAATCCACCCCTCCAGGGCTCAGAGCCAGCTGAACTTATTAAAGTTGTGCCATAAATGCTACTTGGTTGGGTTCCTGCAGAGACAGAGAGAAGCTGTTGGCCACAGAGTCAGGCATTCTCAATATCTATAGCAAACAGCTATAGGCCAACTACTGGTAATGGAGACTTCAAAGCTTTCCCCTGGGCTCCCAGGGACTGCCACACCCAGCTAGCCTCTTCGGCACTAGGCCTGGACAGGGTGGGAATTGTGGCCCACAGGTCTCAGCAGCTCCTCCCTGGGATTCAGATCCTTTGCCAGTTGGAGAGAGATCCAGGTTCCTGTACCTATAGAGGTTCCAGCTACAGCTGGAAAAACCAGGCACGTCTCTACTAAACAAATTCATGTTTTCTTTTTCTCCTGTATGGAGTGTGTATGGTGTGCACACATGTATGCATATTCACATGTATGTGGGTAGGTGGGTGTGCACATGTATGCATGCAAGGGTGGAGGCCCGGTGTTGAAGTCTAGTGTCTTCCCCAGTCTCTCCTACCTGTTTACTGAGATAGTCTCCCATTGAAGCTAGAGGTCACAGACTCCCAAGTCAAGCTAGCCAGCTTGCCCTGAGAATCCCTTGTCCCTGTGTCCCGGGAGCTGGGACTACAGGAGGTTACCATGCCTGCCTAGTTTTTAAATGGGTTCTAGAGATCTGAATCCTGTCCTCACACAAGTCCTTTCTCCACGGACCCATGTCCCTAGATCAAAATGAACAGTCTTTAACACCGGTTCCAATTGCGCTGCCCATGCAATCGTTCAGGATTTATAGAAAGCCCCGTGATAGAAGCGAGGCTCCTGTTTTATCCCTTCAAGGTCTGTGGTCATGGCTCACTGAAGTCATTGGGCTATTCTGTGTTTTGTATCTCTGCGAACTCAGAAACAAAAGGTCAATCAGTGTTATGGCAGATCCCTTCTTTCTTTGTCACTGGAGTAACTGTGAATTTAGCTACGCTAGAAAATAACACCAGAAATTTTAGTTGGAGGCCCCTGGAAGCAATAAAGCCTAAATCAAACAGCTTTCCTAACCTGTGAGGAGAAAGCCTCCAGGTCCCCTGAGAACTTCTCACACCTCGAGATGCCTGGGAAAGGAAAGTAGGGGAGGTCTCAGTGCAGGAGGCAGAGGCTCTGCTGTCTGCTCAGGGGACCTGGGGAGCAGGATTGCTGTCCCTGATTGTATGGATAGAGCTGTACTCTTTGTATCTGTGGAGAGTTGCCTTGAACACTGACCTCAAGCTATTTCAAGGGACTTCTGGGGCTGGGGTGTGTATGCCTGGGTAAGATAGCAGCGTGGGACTAGCGGGAGTGAGCATGGCAGGGGACCACCCCTTCCTGCCTGTTCCTAGGCTGTGCTCCAGGCCAGCGTTAGGTTTGTGGCCAGTGTGAGACTAGAGAAAGGACACTTCTTGATTCTGTTGTCACTGTTAATCTAATTTGTGTGAGTGTTTGCCAGTGTGTGTTTATGTACCCTATGTGTGTGCCTGCTACATGCAGAGGCCTTAAGAGGACACTGAGGCCCCTGGGACTGGAGTTACAGATGGTTGTGAGCCTCTATGTGGGTGCTGGGAGCCTAACCCAGGTCCTCTGCAAGAGCAACAAGGGCTCCCTTCCCCTGAGCCCTGAGCTGTGTCTTGTTTCCTTAGCTCCTGCTGGGTTTTGTTGTTGTTGTTGTTGTTGTTGTGCTTTTTGAGACAATGTCTCATATATCCAAGGCTGGCCTTGAATTCCTTATATTGCTAAGAATGATCAACTTCTGATCCTCGTACCTGCATCTCTCCAGTGCTGGGGTTGCATGTGAACCTCTGTGCCCATGGATGTAGAACCAGGGTCTCATGCGCAGTGGCAAGCACCAAACCCACTGAGTTACCTCCCTAGCACCAAGAGCTGCATCTTGAATCCGACAACTCTGAGAAGTAGTTTGAGCTCTGATGCCGAGCAGGTGAGTGTCAGGGGCAAACTGAGTGACTTCCCCATGCTTTTGACTCCTTTAACTACCTGGATTATAGTGTTAAAGATTTGAATTAAAACCTGTGGGAAGCCTTGTAGCTGAGAAATGTTTGTTTCTTAGATGAT